CCCCAACTGCTGTTGGTGGGCGGAGCATTTCCAAGGTGGGCGGAGTTCTCCACAAAACTTTGTGACTCGGCTGCAAGAAGTCCTGGAGACCGGAGAGAAGTGGGCGAAGGAAAGGAAGTGAATTTCTAATGGTGTGCGGAGGATACACCAAAAAAGCCAAAATTATAAATCGGCTCAGAGATAGTTCAGAGATCGGGTAAAAAGTGGGAAGAGGTTGGCGAGGAAGAAAAAGATAGGTGGGACATGCAAAGAAATAGGCGGAGTTTACCACGAGGTTCATAAATCGGTCCGGAGGCAGTCCGAGGCGGGAAAAACGGACAATTGGTGGAGGAAGGAGGGAAGGTCAAAAGCCATCGGTGGATGAAGCATGGGGCAATCGGATAGAATTCAGCTTGAAAGTCAAATATTCGAAGGGCCAAATTCGAAAATTCACGCCGCACCATCACCGCATCATCGCCGCAGAACTGTGCTGTGCGCGCAACGCGTGCGGCGCCAATTGGTTAATATGAAAATGATAGGGAGGGAAGGTAGACGAGACCTGTCGGGACGTGATTTTTGCACAAAATCGCATCAACGCCATACATATATCATATGTGTCTACTTACCGGCTATCTTATCCGCTACGGCGTAGTCCACGTTACATGCTAGGTGTGCGAGGTACAGTCGATATCCGAAAGTTGGGGTGGGCGTGTCACCGGAAGTGACGTGCACTTGATAGAAGTTGCGTGGATAAGCTGTTGCCAGCATGCTTTGCTGATATCCAGCGATGTATGTTGGAAGCAGCTTATCCACATAGCTTCTATCAAGTGCACGTCACTTCCGGTGACACGCCTACCCCAACTCTCGGATATCGAGTATATCTTGTACCGTGAGTTCACATTAGCCGCCATTAGATCGCTTGTAAGGCCCTAGCGCCATTATCGCGCACTTTCGAGCCACGACAATGGCCCATTTATGATACCCTTGGGATACTCTATCCCACCCACAGATTAGATTCATTGACACGACCTCGTTTGGGTCACTGCTTTAAGGTTAGAAATTTGGCGTAGGAGAAACAGGGCTCGATGAGGTCTCCTCCCCGCTACTCAATTTCGCCTCATTTCATATTTTCTAGTGTTTAGAAGCGTTTCACTAAACTTTGCTCGACCAATCCGGTGATCATTGACACTGCCAAAAAGGCGTAAATTTTGAAGGTGCGCCTCATTTTCACTCATCGTCAGGCCTACACTGGGCCTATAGTTTCGGTATGCAGATCACTTTTCCATCCCCTGCTTTTCCTTCATTTGCTCAATCTTTATTTGCTCGCTGTAGGAGAATCGGTCACTAGCAGTTGTGCTGTCAAATTTCAATGATTTGATTGCGTTACAGGGACCTACCTCACAATGCACTCGCGAATCCGGATCGATTTCTTTTTCGATGTCATCTCACCCTACAGTTGGATTGGATTCGAGGTCTGACACTTTCCCTTGCTCTGATAGGCACCACCACAATTAGCGACAATTATCAAAAATTATCAGTTGTCCTCGAGTGGAGATTTCCTTCTCTCGAAGTTTCGGCGAGGAAAAAGTCAGGTTTCAAAACTCTAAAGCGAGAATTCTGGCGGGCGTGGAAAATATGGAGACATTTGTGCACGTTTACCAATCTTCAAGCAGCACTTTTTTAGATATTGTAGTAGCAATCGAAAGCAGGATGCTCCACATCTCTGATTCCAATCAGGGACTAGTCAAACCCGCACGTTAATGGACAGCTTGAATGAGCACGTAACGTGGAGGTGCAAGTTTTTCCGATGATGGTGGAAATCGCTTCTATGGCACCTAGGAGACCTATTTATGAAACTCTGAAGAAAGCTTCCCAGGTGAGCAGCTCCCTGGCAGGGTGGTTCCTTGTTACGCGCAGCCGTAGGCCGATGTCATAGTTTGCGAATCGAGCGATTCGCTAGCGAATCGCTGGATCCGAGCGTTGCGCCAGCGAATCGAACGTTGCACCAGCGAATCGAACTTTGCGCCAGCGAGTCGAACGATGTACCAGCGAGTCGAACTAGGTACCAGCGACTCAATAGTGGCGGGTACACTGTCAAGTGACACTGTTTAAAAGTGGCGGGACTTCCTTTGAACGTTGGGCTCGATTCGCAAACTATGACATCGCCCTAGAAGCGCAGAGAGGGCTCGCCGATAGGGAACGGGGGGAATACAATGTGTTTGGAGAGACGTAGGTGACGCCTGTTACGAGCAGCAAAAAGTCCTGCGGTCTACGTTGCTGTTGGATCAGTCGCGGGATCAATACCTACGATAAGTCTAATGGTTTGCAACCTTCGGAGGCTATTCCTTTTCTCTACAACCTTTCACCGTATAAGAAGGGCTCCTTAGTGCAGTGGTAACGATGCCGCTCATGGGACGGTGCACCGAAAGTTCAAACCCGTGTGTGACGCAAGGTTTGCAGGCAACGTGGGGCTCACCACTTCCACTATGGCAAATTACCAATGGCTCAATAGGAACGTTCCACGCTGCCGCTGGCAAGGTTGCTGGATCTACACCGCTTGGAGTCTAAGATTTGCAAACAACATCCGTTGCTTACCTGTTGTCAAGACCTCTTCCGATGCTGATGAGATCCCTGGTGCACTGGCAGAAACCCGGCTCTGAGTCCTGTCACACAGGATGGTTTCACGGCCGAGAATGGCGCAAGCTTTATGTGGCGAGGCTGGCGGTTCCAAGAATTGCCAAGTCCATATTTCCACGTTCCTTGATCCTCGTCAATGGGTTAAAATCACCACATTCGATTGCCAGTCTAGGGCACTTTACTACCGCCCAGAGCTGCATTTGTATGCGGAGCATTCGGCATACATTACAGTGCGGTGTGGATTACTCACAGGAATATGGCTGTAAGAGTCCCACTAGAAAACCTATTAGGAAAACAACGGGGATATCCCTTATGTATTTGCTGTTCAACTGAAAATGGCCTTGCATTGCAGGGATTGATGAGATATCGACAGATTTGGCCCATCGATGTCCGTCTTCGTCCATTCTACCTCGCTGGTGTTATAAAGGCAACAAGTAAGTAGTACATGAGTACATTGCGAACTGGGAGGGAAGAGGAGATGGTACAATGGATGCTGTATCAATACTTTGCTTTCCCCGAAATGAGCCCTCATAAATCATTTCAGACTACGGGTATTAGTTACTACTACAAATATGAAAATCCAATAATATTAGATCATCTCAAAATCGCCGTTATCCCTCACACTCGTGGTCGTGCTACTGTGGCCTTGTTTGCCCCTGTTTCCATCGCCTTTTACATAAACTTCAACTGCGCCTTGTACTGGTCTGACATCTTCGTGGCAACCGAACCATCACTACTTGCAAATAGTTTGGACTTAAAAGATCAGCTTGCGGGTCAAGGGCATTCAGAATCTTTCGTGTCCAAATGGTCACATTCTGTATTAGTCGTGCTTCCCAAAACGTCTTGATTTCAGAAAATCCTGGAGCGCCGCTGATGTTGACTCAAAAGCAGGCCTACATGGCCACGGATATCAGAAGGAACGGAGAGTACTGGGATATTCCTATATCCCTGCCGCAGGTAATACAATAACCGTATGAAGTTTTGGGAAGCTGATTCTGTCCAAGTTCAAGTGTCAAGTCAAAGTCGAAGGACAGGCTGCTCCCTTAGGATGCAGAACGATGTGCATTTCACAGCGTAGAGTATGCCCCAGCGGCCTAGCAGAGCCATATCCGCGCCCCTCGCGCCGCAGTACGCCCACTGTCTCACCATCGGATCTAGTCGTTTCATGGGGAGAGCGCAAGCCTTGAAGAGGGCAGCACCGATAGTAGGAGTTGCTTCGCGGAAATCAAGGGCATAATGCGGGTGCCAAGGTACTAGGGTTCTGGACCATTCCTCTCGGTTTTTCTCTATCCCTTTACCATTGACAACGTCCACCTTGATTTCAAATGACCTGCCTTTTCATCGCAGCTTCCCCTTTCGCCGTGAAGGTACGATGTAGCAGTTCAGTGATTTCGCATTTTTGTGACTGATGGAAATTTGCCTTGGTCAGATTTGATGGAAATCTGTCTTGGTCAGATTTTCAAAGGAAATCTTCCTTTCATTGTGCTGCACACACTAAGCTGAAATGGCTGCTGTGATTCCAAGGCTACGGAGATTCAGAGGTTAAGGTTCAGAGGCTTAGCTTTCACTAATTTTGAAATCGAATTAAATTAGATTTGATGCGGCTTTTAGCGTATGGCGTTGTGAAAAAGACCCAGGGGAAAAAAGAATAGATTTCATCAGACCACTCGTAAACATTGCA